CTCCATTATGTCTGCAAATTCATAGAAAATTTCGGTATATCCGCCAGAAAAGCTCATTCTAAGTGCAAGGATGGATGAGTCGGCATGTGGACGAGTTTTCGTGACTAAATTTTCGAACTCGAGCGCGTTTGCATGGTCACTTTCTTAGAAAAGTGAGAAGTTAAAAGTGGTCTGCACATTTCAAATTGAGTACTTTATCATCTGAGAGAATGATGAAAAATAGTCTTCTATTCTTATCTATTCCATTTTATGGGTGACGCTTATCAGATGAACAAGTACTTTTTAGGTTACCTTGTTTTATGAGAGAAAAATCGCCGTCCATTTCGGTGCACCTAAGATGATTCAGGGCTCCAGGACAACAAACTTTTTTATCTTTCCGAACAAAGGGACTTCCGATAATTTCTCAAAGTCCCCCATCCATCCATCCTTCTTCCCAAGTGCAAAGTACTAGTCAGAAACTGTTTTTCACACCCAGAACGCACTGACTCCAACCACTGGGTCTGCCGTGAAATGGGGAACTTATTATTTTTTGCACCCAGAAATATTCCTGTCTTCGATACCGTAATCACCTTCAACTGTACAATTATTTATGAGACCAGATGATCGACGGCGGCTGGCTGTAAAGAGAGACGAAAGAAAAGGTTGGGAAAGAAGTGGCCAAATTCCATGATGACTGATTGGATGGCATAGCAAACTGATTCCAATCAATTGATTCTCACGAAGGCAAGGTTTGAAGTATCATAAACTGGGAATTAATAAGTATTAAGGTGATGGGTAATACATCTTTGGAAGGGTTCGATTTATTCTAACCATAGTTTACAAAGGCATAGGACAGATGCTAGAGAAATTTGAAATTTTCAAAACTTCCGCTTTCAACTATCATACAAATTCCCCCATGACTCTGTCACGTCGGTCATGATAGTTAACAGTGGATGACCATGTGGATAAGGTCTTACTGAAAAGAGGTCCAGATATAATGTGGGCAGGATGGGTAGCGAATTGGGAGAAACTCAAGAGGATCTCGTAGATGGCACCCAATTGAGGAGCAGCGCCTCTAGTCACTGCACCACTCTGTTCCATACGTACCTTGAGGCTTCCTAGGACAGAATGCCATCCTTATCTCCCATATTGTCTGGGACCTGCTGCCCTATCAATCAATATTTAATTTAATAACTTTCTGTGAAAACTTCATACTTTGTAGTAAGAACAGGGAACCTGACCATATGGAAGAAATGGGAAAGTTCTAAGGGCATGGAATTCCCAAAAAAGGGTAGGAAAGGGAAAGGGGAAAGGGTGAACAATTTAATGATCTGGAAGTCAAAAATTTTCGGTTTCAACTGTCATATGTAACTCCCCGATTTCCTTTTCCCACTTGGTAGCGTAGGCCTCGAATCTACTGGTAGTAAACTACTAAGTCAAGTCAACATGGGATCAGGGCAGTATTTCAGGAGAAGTTCGAACCGCAAGGACAGGAGCCTATTCAGGAGGGCCTATTCCCCTGATTAAAACCTCTCTGATTACGATGGGAGTTTTTTAACTGCCCCCCCCCCCCTCTACGGAATAGGGCAGGAGCGAAGGACGACACAGTCCCAATTGCGGTGTGGCCTATGGTACTCGAAATTCATCCTCATTTGCTATACAAGGAAGGGACCTTATCCAAAACCGACTTGGTGGTTCTATGCGTCAAGATGTAATTATTTAATTAATCCATTTCCAGGAGAACTCTTATAAATGGGTGAAAATGAGAATCAGAACTGAGTGAGGTGAAATGGGAAATAAAGATGTTGAAGACATGAATTACCCATGAGTTTCAGTTGGTTCTCGAGTTTAGGCTATAAAATGCTCCCAGGCTTACGTCATGTGGGATTTTTCTGGATTCACTGTAAGTTCTCTGGAGAAAGCCATAAAGCGAAGCGATCTTCACTCTTCCCAGCAGGTGAAAAACTTTTCCTAACAGCCAGAAACCCATCCGAACGCCATATGGCAGCTTCCAGGGGAGCTCAAGGGATAGTCGACAGGATGCAAAAACAGATTCGGAAGCCGGGATTGAAACCGAAAAGATGGATGAGGGGAGATTAAATGGGTAATCGCACAACTTTTATAACTTCCAAATGTTCCGCGGGATGTGGACGTCATGAAGAAAAATTCCGAAAGCCAGAGAATCCTAGAAGACTGAGGAAACAGGGGACTGAATCGAAAGTGAAAAGGAAGTGCCAAGAATAAAAATAATTCGATAAAGTTTTATAAAAAAGGGGTTCTGAAGTAGGAACCCCTTCAAGAAATCCTGAATAGACATGCACCCGGACATGAGCGCACTCTAAAAAATGTTGGTAAACATCAGAAAAGAAATTTTGAGATTTATGGAGCCGTCAGAAGGAAATGAAATGTTCTCATGGCCTTTCCAAATAAATGGCGGGAAGGGTGGTGGTCCCGCAGACTGACGGTCCTACATCAGGAACGTGCGGAAGTAAGGGTAGGAGGGTTTACCAACCCGAAGTTCTGACAAATGTGAACGAACGTGAGGTCATACTCCCTCACCCCTCCCTAACGCCCCCTTAATCTCGTGGTCAACAATTGCTGGGAATTAGACGTAGGACACGGTGGTCCGTTCTACTGAATATCACGTAGCCCAAGTTCCTAGCACAGGATTGGCCTTCTACCGAAGAGAATGAGTTCGAACTGGATGAAATGGAGCTGGGGGAAAAATGAACCATAGACAAGTAAAGTGGGAAAGGGGATGAACGGGCGCTGTCCGGGACTACTTGACTATGCCAAGCCAATTTATACTATACCCTACCTGCTAGCCAGACGGGTGGGCTCAAAAAAAGGAACAACTGGTAATATTTATGGAACTGAATGTTGCGTTGGCGACTGTAATGTTACAATTGCTATTCCCTGAATTTTTAAGACCCTAATCATGTACAAACTATTTATAAGTATCCATGGATAGACCAAAAAAGTGCTGGGTATCGCTCCTATCCCCAGAAAGCGCTATGCCCTCACCATGACCATGACACACATTCGGATGCCTACTTGTTAAAAAAATATTCATTTACGTTATCTGCAAGACAGAGAATTAAGAAGACGGTCTGAGAGGTGGGCCCGGTTGCCAGCGTCGGGATTCGATCCCAGGAACATTGCAGATGTCAGACGCCTCGCACTTCTACGTACCAATTGGAGGTGATCCCAGATGGCTTATGAACTTCGGCATTTTGTTAAGTGTGTAATTGTGAAGTGGTGAAAAGCTACATCAAAGCTCGTAATGAGAAACAATGGGGTTAAGAAGATAAGTTCAGAAGCGCACCATGTATTCGCCTCAGATTCTGGAGGCTGGAGACAGTAATAGAGCGTAATGGACTGAAATTATAGTCGACGCGGTGGTCCCGTTCGAAGTAAAAAAAGATCACAAAATCATAGTAAACAGGGAACAAAACCTGTGATGAAGGAGTAATCGGGAAACGGCTTGGTCTGTGTCAGTCCGGGTGAAGGAGATCAGCTCCTGCGATTGTATGGGCTCGCAATGAAGAGACCACAGGATCACCAGGTAACAAAAGCAGTGGAGTTCGGAGCTCAAGGGAAGCAACCATTTAGCGCCTCGAAGAAGATCTTACGAGACGTCATCAGGGTGGACCTCGACCTCGCCAGATGGACAGAAGGAGAAGCGGTTGATAGGAGGAAGTGGTGACGGCTAGCAGGAATAGCGGATCCTCCGATGGCACGGGATGATCGCCACGGAGAAGAGTGGAAGAATGAGAGGCCTGTCTGCAATATTCGATTGGTCCCTTAGCTCTTCAGCTTTGAGGAGAAAGCTGTCGTCACTGCACTCAGTCAAAAAAAAAAA